TGCAGCCTCTCATCTTTGGGCTTTTCCTCTCCATGTACCTGATCACTGTGTTGGGAAACCTGCTCATCATCCTGGCCGTCAGCTCAGACTCCCACCTCCACACACCCATGTACTTCTTCCTCTCCCACCTGTCCTTTGTGGACATCTGTTTCACCTCCACCACCATCCCTAAGTTGCTGGTGAACATCCAGACTCAGAGCAAAGGTATATCCTATGAAGGATGCATCACACAGATATATTTTTCCACACTTTTTGGAGTATTGGATGTGTTCCTCCTGACTGTGATGGCCTATGATCGCTTTGTGGCCATCTGTCACCCCCTGCAGTACATGGTCATCATGCATCCCTGGCTCTGTGGACTGCTGGTTCTGCTGTCCTGTATCATCAGTGTCCTGAATTCCTTATTACATAGCTTAGTTGCATTGAGACTGTCCTTCTGTACAGACTTGGAAATCCCCCACTTTTTCTGTGAACTCAATCAGATGATCAAACTTGCCTGTTCTGACACCTTTCTTAATGACATGGTGATGTATTTTACAGCTCTCCTGCTTGGTGGTGGACCTTTTGCTGGTATCCTTTACTCATACTCCAGGATCATTTCCGGCATACGTGCAATGTCATCAGCTCAGGGGAAGTATAAAGCATTTTATTCTTGTGGATCTCACCTCTCAGTTGTCTCCTTATTTTATTGTACTCTGCTGGGAGTGTATCTCAGCTCTGCTGTGACCCACAGCTCACAGTCAAGTGCAATAGCCTCCGTGATGTACACTGTGGTCACACCCATGCTGAACCCCTTCATCTACAGTCTTAGGAATAAAGACATCAAACATGCTCTAAAAGCATTCTTTTTGAAGCTAACTATAAACAGACCAATTGTCCTAAGATTGAAGAAGTGCCCACAATTGCAGAGGTCAAAGGCTCACAGTCAGATATTGTGATTATTTTCAGACTGTGGAAGGATTACTTGCTCTCTCTATTTATTTTCTGGAATTTCCATTTCTTTAGCCTCATCTTCTCTAATCAATGTATGTAACTCATTTTAAGCTTTCAGCTCTCTCAGGTATCTAATAGCTTTTCCCATAGTTTATTTCCTACTTTTATTTACTTTATTTATTTATTTATTTAAGATTTTATTGGGGAATTGGGGAAGAGGAACAGCCAAGTTGTTGTCCTTTGATCTTAGTTGTGGAAGGTGCAGTAAGCTCAGCTCCAAATCCAGTCATGCCACTCAGCTCAAGGTGCCAAGTTCAGTCTTAGTTGTGGGTGGGCGTAGCCACCTTCCTATGTGGGAGTCGAACTGGCAGCCTTGTTGTTAAGAGCGGGCTCTCTAACCCCTGAGCCACCCGGGCAGCAGCTCAGGTCAAGGTGCTGAGTTCAGTCTTTAGTTGTGGGCAGGCATAGCCCACCATCTCGAATAGGCAACCTTATTGTTAGGAGCACTGGCTCTCACCAACTGAGCCATCCTGCCACCTGTGAGCAGCTCAGCGGCAGTTCAGCTTGGGCACAGCGCACTGGTCCATGTGGGAATTGAACTGGTGACCCTGTTGTTCAGAGGTCACACTTTTGAGCAAGCTCTTAACAAACTGAGCCACTCGGCCAGCCCCCTACTTTATTTTTAACCAGAATCAGAAATATATTTGTAAATTCTCATTTACCTAATGTAATGATACAGATTTTTTTAAAGAATACTTTTTTCTAACTCTATATATCATACCAAATAATTTTCCTTTTGTTTTCTTTAAAAAATTGTCATGGGTCATAGTACTCAAATGGAAAAAAAAACTACACTTGATGACTGAAGCAATTTATATAATTTTAGAACACATGAAAATCTGAGACTACTCTTTTTCCCTTTGTTAGAAATTTTTTTATATATCACTATCTTAGCTGCTCTTCCTGATAATATAGACTATAACATACTAGTGTGTTTTATAGATGGTCACTGGGTTTATTCTATTCATTAGAATCCTGTTCTATTTTAGCTGGGTGGCCACAATGTCACTGGCAAAATGATTATCAAATACATGTCTCCAAAAGGAGTCTTCATTGAAAGTAAATTTTAATAACTAGATTGCCTTTTAATAACTAGAATACCACTTTAAAATCACAGATGAATTTCAATATAAAGAAGCAAATTTTAAATCACACATCATATTACTGTGCAAAATATTTATTGATCCTGCTGTGCTTTTATTCATTGGAGTATGGAGGAACGGTGCCTATATGTAAAGGGGTTTATACATATGGTTGAAGATATGCGGGTGTCTTTCTATATTTTATTGAATTATCTATAGGTTTCTGCTTGAAATCTTTCAGTGCAGCCTATAATATGACTCCATTACTGTAAATACAATGTCAGAGGGGTAGTGGCTTGGGGGAGGTGGGTTATCACTTTGTGAGGGGTGTAAATGTCTAACTATTACATTGTTTTGTACACCTGAAATTAATTTTAAAAATGTAGATTCCCCCTTCTATATTTTCCATTAACAAAGAAGGGATGGTGAATGGTCATTATATATCTCCATTGTGCTCAGTATTCTGTTCATGTTTTATAATCAAAGAGTGACTCAAGAGCACTTGCATTCTTGTCAGTCCTGAGAGTCAGAGTCAGCAGCTTTCCTACACACACATGCATGTCCTTTCAACCTCTCCTGCTTACCTTGCAGTGAAGCCCAAAGAGAGTTTTTAAATACAGTTGTTTGAAATAACACAATAACCATGAATGCTGTCTTCAAAAATGAGAACAAATGCCAACAATAATCAGCAGCAGATTAATATAATTGTCTTCACTTCTGTTCACTTTGATTATTGTATGAGTTAGCTATTGTTGAATAACAAGACATCCTAAAAGCAAATTATTTAATATGATGCCTTTTTTTACCAAGTGAGATGGCATGGTGAGGAGTTGTTCCCTGCTCCATTGGTCTCCTTTTCAATCTCTAGTCAGCTGCGAGTCTGTATGTGTGTACCTACGGCTCATTTATAATGTTGTGTGTGGCCATGGTGCTCTTCTCTCTTTATCATCAGTTCACTCTATTTCTATACCTAGTTTTATCTTCTATTTTAAAGACAAGAAAGAATACCCAATGTGAATTGCTTTAATTTGATTCTACTGTTCCTATATCCATACATCACACTTTGTTTTTTTTCCTGGTGTGAATCAGCTACCTGTGCTCTATATCCTACTCAGATGGATGCTCTGCTAGTTTTATTTCCTTCTAAGTACTTTATTGGAGTAGAATTATGTACTATGAATGGCATATAATAAAAATGTACAATTTGATGACAACAAAGAACCATATCTAAATGATAGTCCACACTTCATGTTTTGTTTTGTATGTAAGTCAAGAAAGTGCACAGTAAATTTTAAGGCCTTTTAATGTCATTGTTAAACGTTCACTCTACCTCAGCCTCGATTTCCTTATTTCTGAAGGTAATGTGGAACAGTAAACATGACTTCAGGCGAATGTTTCAAGAAACAAGTTAAATATGTAAACATATTCTACTGAATCCATGTTACACATAAATTTAGATGATGAATTACTTTTCTTATCTTAATGCCTCAAAGGGATCAAAATCAAAAGCACTGCAAAAAATCTTACCTTTATGCAGTAAGAAATTCTCTACAAGCTTAAGAGGCTGAATATCTTCAAACTGATGATAAATTTCTTCTACTTAAGGTGTGCTTACAATACAAAATGCCTTTACCCAGGGGAGGCTAAAGGATGAATCATGGCACTTCAGTTTCCTGAAGAAAATTTTATTGGATAAATGGTACTAGACTTATCGGGGGGATAACATCATAAGTAAATGTCTAACCACTATGCTGTAACTCTGAATCTAATTTAATATTGAATGTCAATTGTAATTTAAATAAAAAATTTTTAAATAGTATGTGTACATTTTTTAATGCTAATGTAAAATTATCACACTAGTGATTTAAATCAAACACATATATGTTCTTACAATTCCTGAGGCCAAAACCAGAAAATGGATCTCACTGGACTAAAATCAAGATGTATACAGGGCTAAATTTCTTCTCTAGGCCACAGGGAAGAATATATTTACTTTCCTATTGCAAGTATATATTATAGTGCAAAAAAAATTAAACATATTTCTTCTAAATACAGTTTAGTGGTTACCAGAGGGTAAGGGGAGGTGGGAGGTAGTAAAAGAGGGTAAAGGGAGTCAAATATATCATGATGGAAGGAGAACTGACTGGGTGGTGAATACACAATGTGATATATAGATGATGTATTATAGAATTGTACATTTGAAACATATGCAATTTGACTAACCATCATCACTGCTATAAATTTAATTTTAAAAAGCCAAAAAGTTATTTCATGGTGAAAGATTAAATGAGAGCTCTTGACTTGTGATATAAGTATGAAAATACGAATTGTTTTTGGAAATGTGTCATGAAGCCCAGTGTGTAGACTGAGGACAAAAGGACGTTGTTCTCCCCCTTGTTGAAAAGAAAAATAGCTGTTTTCTGTAGATATCAGGGGCTGTATCTCCACCACAAATCAATATTTGGAAATTTGAGTTTTCTAATCCAGACTGGCTCCTCAGTTTTAAATTTAGAAAACTTTTAGATCAGGTTTGGGATAAGGTGCTGGGAGCTTAGTCCTCTGGGAGCCAGCAGACTTGATGAGGAAGAACTAATAAAAACTGGATTCACTTGACTTCTAATTTGGTCTTTGGGGAACACAGATGCTCCAGGGAAACTGTCCCTTCTGTCCAGACGCACAGGGAAATCATGTGCATAGAGATTGGAGTAATAAGATGGAAATGTGCCTAATGAGCAGACATAGGGAGTTGTAAATATCTCCTCATGTCCAGTCTCTCAGCAGGTGTGAGATTGGGCTGTGTCGGACCAGGTTGTTGTTTATGGAGTCCCAAGTTTGTCTGGGAGACCAGTCCTTGACTCTTTGCTGCTATCTTGTCTGGGGAGAGGGTTTCAGTCTCCATCATCAACCATCCGGAAGTTGAACTTTCACACGGAGACCTTCCCCTCAGATTTTACAATCAGGTGAGTCTGAGAGTCCAGTAGGTGGTAGTGCAGGAAAGGGTCAGAGAGAATCAAAGCCAAGCACATTTACTTGAGGGCATTTGACAGCCATCAGCCTAGCTCAGAGCCTAGAACTCCCTATGGTTGTTTGCTTGCCTGATTTACCAATTAATTATTTATTTATTATGCTAAAAAGAGAAGTGAACATTGAACTCAGCAACACATGGGTAATTGTTGATAATTAACTGATGGAGGCTGATTGGAGATGGCAATGGAAGGCATAAAGTGTTTCAAGTAAAAGTAGAACATATCCAATGAGTTTTGAAATTAAAGAGAAGGAAATCGAGTATGAGGTGTGGAGGAATGTCAAATGAATTGAGGGGAGTTCTTTTTTATTATTACTTAATAATGTACATTCGACTACGTTTTCATATTGATGAGAAAGATCCAGATCGAATATATTGCTTGCAGATATTATCTTGAAACATTAGCTCATGACATATGCATTTTATAGTATCTTCTGTCACTCTGGGTATTTGCATGAAAATAAATGATAAATGAGAAGAGTAATGCTAAATACCATAATTTTACAATTTTTTCATTACCTGTGACCTGAATATAGTCATAGGTTAGTTATTTATTTTTCTCTGTTGTAAATTGTCTGTACAAGTTTTTACATTTTTATAGTGTGGTCAGAGTGTTTTTAGTCCTGTTTTTTTTA